CTCGCCCTGAACACGCAAGTTGTCCAGTTTTATTAGAATATTCTATTCCGAAGCTATAACACTAGAGCTATAAAATATGGATTGTTGTATTGTTGTAAATGGTAAGGCATGTGTTGATATAAATTATGATCACAAGCAAAATAACTAATAAATGACAAACCTTGCAAAAAATATACCTAATGTTGTACAAACAGTTAGTCAATAACAGAAAAAAATATGTTACGATAATCTGCCTCATATATTATTATGCCTGTCAGAAAACATCATACATAATCTGCCTGTTTCTTTTGCTAGTAGATTGTTTATCTGACAAACTTCTTTAATAATGTACTAAGTAAATTAATAACATATAAACAACTTTATTGAAACGTCAAGTATGTCAAGTATATCTTGATTATGTTTTATGTAAACTTTTAAATAAAATGTTGAAAATTGTGCACCTCTTTAACATGGACAGGATTTTAATGCTTTTTCGTACGCAAATCATTTGTAGATTTTGACATAAATATCATTATATTAATTCATATACATTGTACCTATAAATTACAGCATCCTTATGTGAAATTACTGTTTTATTAAAAGTCTTTATGTCATTTTTTTTTGCTTATACTGCATGCTTTATTTTTGTTTCTAATATGAGTTTCGTCTGGATTTTTACAAGGAAGACAATTAGTTCGACCGAAAAGACGTTCTATTAAATGTTATATAGAAATTGTGTAAGACTTGGCTGCAGAAAAAATCGGTTTGCTTGTAACAAAGGCGTTAACGACATTGCTAAAATAGGACATTCATTGTTCACGGCTCAAAGCATAATTTCACTTACAAATTTGCATTTCTTTATCACAATGTATCAGCGTCTGACTTAAACAGATTATAGCATTCGGGTTAGAATAATGAAGTTCTTTTTTTTCATTTTGATTCATTAGCATCATATTTATAAAATATTTAGCTAATATCAAGCTGAACGACGAAGTTATATATTTGTTTCGGTGATGTATATCTTATAACAGGCATGTAAATAAAGGATTCTAGCAATAGAGATATCGTTGTTAAACATGCAACTGAATACAATATAGTTTCATAGAATATATCATCACATTTTAATCCTGTGTCTATGCTTATTTCTCTGTGCATGAGGGGAAAAAGTTTGCCGTTAAGAAACCAAATGATCGTAAAATTGTGTCATAGTTTAAAAAGAAATTATGTACATGGATATCAATAAGTAATATTTATATAAGTAATATATGCATTATATAAGTAATATAAGTTTTTCAAATCGAGAAATGATCACAAACAAAACAATTACACTTATGCATATTAATATTAGTTACTGGTACCTTTTCTACTTTAAAACAGAAAAAGGGAAATGTGTGATTGACAATTGGTTTATTAAGTACATAAAAAGCGTATCTTTTGTGGATTAAAAGAAAATATGTATTGTCTTGCAGGACAGTATACTTTAAAATTATTGTTTACCTGTTCTAAAACCAACATGCAATATTTTATCAACGTTGAACATTTGACCTTTAAAACATAATTTGTACTAAATAATGAATTAGATTCTCCCTTTAAGTTTCATATAGTTATATACATATTTAGAAATGAATTTACGTTATTGCCATTATCTGACAATGATTGCTGACTATAAATACATTTTTAGAAGTGACACACAATTTTAAGAAAAAAACCGCACTATTCAAATAATGATTAAATACCAAGAGGCATTGTTCAATACAAATAATACAAAAGGAGTATATTCAACTCATTTGATTTAAAAGCTAAACATTTCTTGACATTTGATATGAAAAGTCTTGTTTGTTAAGACCGAGTATTCAGATAGTGATTAATTTTTTTTATCGGCAATTAAAATCGACCTTTATAACCTTTTAAGCCATAACCTGTAAACTTCTGAATCCAACAAATAGTAAAACAATCCTATCGCTTCATGACTTTTCATATTTGATTTTATCAAAATCATACTAAAAATTTTCTTTTAAATTTTGTTTTTTATTGATCAAGCTCAGGGGAGAGGGAGATTTCGAATGAAGTTAGATTATTTACAATTTTTAAAAGCAACGTAGGTGCTATATGCATTGTAACACCGCAAAACGTCCGTACCGCAAAACGTACGTATATGGACGTTTTGGGGAGTATATCGTCCACATTTTTCTGACGTACATTTTGCGGCAAAAAGGCATGGTCCTGCCACATAACGTCCATATTTTAAAGTTTATATAATTTTCGTTAATTTTGACTAGTTATTATCAGGTGTTATTGTGTGCTTATTTTAGCTCACCTGAGTATGCGCCTGTCTGTCCGTCCGTCCGTCCAAAGTTAGCTTGTTACCACTCTAGCATCCACATACCCTAAGCAATATGTCCAGAGTTATCTGCCCTTGAATTATTATATCTGTTATATTTCATATTGTTACTACTCCAACGTTTTCATTTCTTTCTCAATCATGACATTTTTAACAGAATATCTATGACCATAAAATCTCAACAAAGTTAGATTATAGGCTAAATCTAACAAAAAAAAACAAAAAACAAACAAACAACTATATCTCTCTCTCCCTCCCTCTCTCTATCTCTCTATGACTTGGCGGCTGAAGCCTATATCCCCCTGAAAAAAGCTCTCTTGCTCAAATATGACTACGCTATCAAAAGCCCCCATCCATCCCCCGTAAAAATGAACGGTAGAACCAAACCTCCATAGTGAACAAGAACACAAAAAATAATTCCTAAATCTTGATGCAATTATATGAAAAGCTATTGTCAAAAGCAAAGCTTAATTTTAATATTTTTTTGTCATTTTTTTGTCATTCACTCAGTCCGATCCCCGGTTTGTCCGTCCGTATAGCTGTCCTTTTCTGTATGTCTATAAAATTACATTTATTTCAATATCATCGTTTTTATATGTCTGCTGCTGCTGCTGCTTGGTTCCATTCCATAAAAAAATCTATTCGAAAAACATCCTCGGCTTAAACATATATTTCTTTTTTTAATACAAAACGTCAGAATTATATAGGATCACAAAAATATTGCACTTTAATGTTTATTTCGTCAAATCTTTACCTGAAACAATATGAAAGTGACAGAACCAATAAAAGTAACGATTATAATGAATATATTTTTATACAGAAAATATGGACGATATGCGACGCAAAGACACACTCTCGCCGCAAAACGTACCAAGTACGATTTGCACCGCAAAACGTCCACATGTGTACGATATGCGACGCAAAACGTCCACACGCGTACGTTTTGTGGTACGGACGTTTTGCGGTGTTACAATGCATACATTTTGATACATTTATCTCAATGCTACAATCGCGTATTATTGTATTAGTGATGGATATATTATGCTGGCAGGTAACACATATTTTTTTTGAATATATAAGAATGTATGAATAAATAATACTTATAATTTGTTATTTGTTATTATTATGATAGTATTTCCAGTGATACCCTTTCAGTCTTGGAATATGTATATAATTGTTTTTTACTGACCCGTTAATTTTTTTATGTCAGATTATGCCAATTATGTTGTGATCACTTTGACATGAAGTGTGAAGTTACTTTAGAAAATGATTTACAAATATGTAATGATTGATTCTGATTTGGTTTCAAAGCACACAGACACAACTGAGGTCAAATGGCGCAAAAATAGCTAACCTGCTTGAACAAAGAGATGCATAGACTTCAGTAACTTGAACTCGGGGATAATGATAAACGGTGGGTGCAATTCTTATGCCCCTATCTTAAAGGCAATTCATTAGCTACAGGGGGTCTGGGTGTCTTTGTATTATTGTACATTAATATTTATCTTTCATATCTGTTTATAATAAGTTTTAACTTTTGGAAGCAATGACAAGATAATTAATACAGTTTTCATACAATGATCACATAAAGGCAAAACAAGATGTTTTTGAATATTTTATATCTCAAAATTAATGAATTGGCGTTGGCATGATACTGTTTTATTAAAACAGTACGTTTCCTTTACTGTAACAGTGAATGAACAATAAAATTAATATTTCTTTTAGATGAAAATGTTAGCAAGAAATTACAACATTATCTATTTATTATTCTAGTCATATCATAGTGGACACATTTTATACTATTTTTCGTTCATTATACGTTTTTGTTTAAATTTAAAGGTTTATTTCCAACTTTTTCAATATATATATAAATATATATATATATAAAACAAAAAACACAGTCCACAGTGGCGTAGCTTCCTATAGGCACTGTAGGCACGTGCCTACACTTTTTTCTCAGATATGGAAAAATTGAAAATGCCAAAAATGCAATAAAAAGTGAAGGGGTTGGTGTGGTTGAAGTGTTGGCCCTTTAGATATAGAAATGATAAGTCATCTATTTGAAAAAAGATGAATTCGAGTAAATTCGTTTTAACCTTCTTTCATATAAGCAAATGTACGTAGTAGTTTTGTTACGAACCGCAGTGCTAGCTAACAAAACTAAGAGGCAGATGACGTCACATCAAAGATTTTTAGCACTTAAATTCAAAATGTAAATAAAGCAAAAATGGCCGACCAGAATCCGCAATATCCGGATATCGGTAATGTTAGCTTTAATGCAAATGACGAGGAATCAAAGAGATGTCTTCTGAATCAAGCTTGGGCATCGTGTTTGTCATATCCTTTTCCCTTTAGGTAAGCAAGATTTTATAATTATTTTGTAGATTCTAAATTAATTATTTGATTCAAACACCGTGTATCCTGATATGATGCTCGTCCAACGTAAGGCTTGATTGTTTTCTATTTATCTTTAAACAAAATACATAGCAAAGTCGAAACAAGTTCACCAACTGGATCTGGAATAATTTTCGACGTGAAACATAGTTTCTTTAACAATTCAAAAATTGTTTTTACCTATATATATATAATTGAATATCAATTTAATTGTAATGCTGCAATAGCGCACCTTACACGCTACCGATGCGAGTTCGATTCTGCGGCACGAATTTTTTTTTTTTTTAATTTTCTTTTTTATTCCTTTTTTTCTTATATAGTCTATTATAATTTTACTAATCGAAATAAATTTTCATTTATTTTAGACGCTTTCTTAGTAATTCATATCATGCTATCTAATTGCCGTTTCGTCTAAAATCTATGACATACTATCTCAATATCACTTATATAATATAACGACTAATTTGATTTTTTTTAATGTTAAACAGGACATTCGGGAACAAGCAACGTAAACTAAATGGCAAATGGTTGATGGAGAAGAAATGGCTGCGGTATTCAAAATCTAAAGATGCCGTGTACTGTGTGAACTGTTGTCTGTTTGGAGGGAATGATGGTCGTGAAAAGACTTTTACATCTGGCACGAGCGACTGGAAGAACCTTTCATCGTTACTGAAACGTCATGAAAGCGAAACCTGCCATATAAATGCTTCTTCTAGAGCTGAAAGCTATCTGGATATCCAGTCTGGAAAATGTGAGTCTATCAATAAGAAATTGTCAGAGTCTTCAAGAATAACAGTAAATAACAATAGACATATCTTGAAAAGAATAATTGAAATAATAGTTCTTTGTGCAAAGCAAAACATACCACTCAGGGGCCATACTGCTGAAAATAGCAACTTCGACGTGATACTTACTGCGTTTGCAAAAAATGACGAAATACTGTCTGATCATTTGGCTAGTGCACATTATAACGCCAAGTATACTTCCCCTGATATTCAGAATGAACTCATAGGAATTTGTGCTGAGCATGTTAAAGAAAAGATAACAAGCGCCTGTCGGAACTGTCCCTTCTATGCAATAATAGTAGATGAAGCTACTGACAAATCAACCAAGGAACAACTGTCGCTCTGTGTAAGATATGTTGATGATAATTGTTGTGTAAACGAGGAGTTTTTGGGTTTCGTTGAATGTCCTTCAATAAAAGGAACTGACCTTTGTGCCAACATTTTGTCATTTCTTCAAGAGGTAGACCTTGATATTTTAAAAATCCGCGCACAATGCTATGATGGAGCATCTAATATGTCGGGCAAATACCGGGGTGTTCAAGCACTGGTTCGTGAAAGATCGCCACATGCCAATTATGTCCACTGCAAAGCCCACTGCTTGAATCTTGCGTTGGTACACAGTTCAAACATTCCGTGTGTGCGTACGATGATGTCTACTGTTCAAGACATCAGTTTTATGTTTGACTATTCGGCTAAACGTCTTAATGCCTTCTGTAAAGAGTTATCTCAAGATACCGCTGCAAGAGCAGAAATGGAACAAAGAACTAAACTGCGAACCTTGTGTGAAACAAGATGGTCAAGTCGTGCAGATGCCCTAGCGACATTCAAGAACGCATTTTCAGTTGTTTTACATGCCCTTGAAACTCTGCAAGAAGACGGAGATGACAAAGCAGGGCAGTATCTGGGAGGGATTCTCAGATTTGATTTCATTATAGCTTTAATAGTTGCAGAACATTTGTTAAGCTCAACTGTTGCCCTTACTAACCTCTTGCAAAAAGAAGATAATGACCTGCTTCATGCAGTAGAAGAAACCAAAGTTGTTGTTCAGCTATTGCGCAATGAGCGGAACGACGCAGACGTATGGGATGCTCTCTATGACAAAGCTTCCAATATCGCAGCAGAATTCGACATCCAACCTTCAAGGCCTAGAAGAGCTGCCAGGCAAAATCATCGAGCAAACCCAGATGTTCACACAGTGTCAGATTATTGGAAAGTCACATTGTTTTATGTATTTCTTGATCATCTGGTACAGGAAATCGAATCTCATATCTTAAGTAACCAAGATCGTTTTGCTGCACTGTATCTTCTACCGAAAAGATTACATCAACTTCAGGTTGAAATGCTTCCCGCCATATACGCTGCTTATGCTCCAGATATCGACCATACATTTGAATCGTTCAACAATGAAGTCGCGAGGTGGAAAGTTCGTTGGAATATTGCTGAAAACAGGCCGGTTCGTCTACAAGAAACGCTCCAAAAAACCAACAAAGACCTGTATCCCTGTATTTACAACATTCTCGCAGTTCTTCTTACAATGCCTCCGACATCAGCATCATGTGAACGGTCGTTTAGCGCAATTAAACGAATTAAGAATTATTTAAGGTCAACCATGAGAACAGAGAGAATGTCATCACTGGCAATCCTACATATTCATAAGGACATGGATGTTGATATCAGCAAAATTATCAATACATTTGCCTCTAAGAAAGGAAGAAAACTTGACTTCTTCTGAAAGAATGACATACTCATAAAATAAAATTCGCGCGAACGATTCGTTCAAATTTCAATATTTGATATCATTACTGTACACAAACCAAGGCACAGGAGTGTATGAAAGACATTTAATGAAAATAATATTACACTTTTTTAACTGTAAACCGTTGATAATTAATGGAAAATTAATATCGTGTTGATTCAATACTAAATTTTTTGAACTCGTGGAAACAAAAAACAACAATAATTATCATGCTCTCCAGAGATCGCATAATATGATGTTTTATTCAACTATTTAAATAATTTAAATTTAAATCTTCATTCAATATCCTCTATTTTACATGCTGAATTATTATTTATTAGGAAAATTATTGAAGAGGTACCGTACTAATTGAATTGCTGAATGTATGTACGGCTTAGACTGTTTCATTTGATTGACTTATTTAGTTGATAAGTTTTGCCAATATATATAGGTAGAGGATTCATTCATATACATTTATTATGGCATTTGAAGCTGTTTGTGTGTCAATATATTTTATCAGATGTCATTGGTATTTAATTGTGTGTTCCAATTATATATTTGGCTAACATTATTCACTGTGAATGTGACTGATTTTTTCCTATATGCAAATAAATTTTCACGTTAGCGCAGATTTGCATAAATTTGTTTATTAATTATAAAACAGTCTTTGAGCCAATCAATTACTATTAATCCGACGTTATACCGAAATAAATTACAATATTTCAAAATTAAATATTGCATATTTTGCTTAAACGTCAATTATGATAATTTGAGATTTGCCTACAGTATATGTATTGTTAAGTTATAATGATTAAACGTTTAAGTATGGGCATAATTATATTGATGGGAAAAAAGAGTTTTCAATGTAGCAAAAATGCTGCAAAATTATCTCTTTTAATTCTTCTGAACATGCCTTAAAATACCTCAGAATGCAGCTACAGCAATGTTAATTTTCAAAAATGTCCGGGGGGGGCATGCCCCCGGACCCCCTAGAAATAGTGCCTACACATTACATTCTTTCAAGCTACGCCCCTGGTCCATGAGTTAACTTATTTAATTATTTGCCAACCGCTTTCTCTTATGATCATCAGGGCAAATGTGACGTCGTCGCATAGTAACGACGACGTTTTTGTGTACACATGTGTACACATAATCTAAAAATAGTAACGTCATTATATAGTATTAAGTTTTGGATTAAAAACATCAATAAAATAGCGTTCTTTAGATAACCTAGCTGAAACGTTTTTACTGTGAAATTTATAAAATGGGAAAATACAAAATTTCGGGTCTTTTTAGACCTGATGATCATGAGAGAAACCAGTTGGCAAATAATTAAATAAGTTAACTCATGGACTGTGTTTTTTATTTTATTTATATGTGACTTTTTTCCGGCACTTGTTTTCATTTTTTGTATATATATATATATATATATATATATATATATATATATATATATATATATATATATATATATATATATATATATATATATATATTTATGATATGCCTGTCATTTCCACTTTAACAATAGTTCTAAGCGTGATATAAAAGCATATATATCTTTAACAAATTAAACAATAAAAGTACCTTTAAGTTATTTGATGATAACACAATTTTATCATCTCAAATGGGTCATCCCTTGGGATGTGTCATATTTTATTTCTTACTTCAAAAGAGCAAAACGTGACTTTTAAAAGTCTTAAGTTTGTAAGATAAAACTATCACAAGGCAATATCTAAATTATGATTCATTAGATTGTAAGCCACCCAGAGTCGGAAAAAAAACAATTGTAGTGTGTAAAGGTAAACATATTTTCTTCAGAAATTTACTATGCTATTTAGAGTGGTTTTGAACAAAACTGGAGGAAAAATGTTTTTAGTAACCGACTTTGTAGAGCGCTGTTTGAAAAATTTAACTGTTGTTACATTATTTTGCATTAAAGTAGTAAAGAAAATGTAATTTTTAATTTGTAATTAATGTTAATAATAATAACCTGTGTATTTTTTTCTGTTAATCACTGGTATATTGTATCCTCCGTGCTATGTTGTATCTGCTGGTGTGTCTTCCTTTGTTTGCCTAACTGTTGTAGTGTTATTTTATAGGCTTCTTTATAACCCTTTGCAAGTTCCACTTAGTACGAGCAACCGATTACTTACTTTACAGTACAGCGATACTATCATTTTCTTTATAGGAAACTCTTGAAAGTTCTTTATGATGATCCTGGTAAGAATTTATACATTTGTAGCGTCATATTCTGTTCCATTGATGAATTCGATGAATTGTGTAATTTTATTTTTTCGTATATAACTTATTTGTAATTGCCATTGTATTTTGTTTGTAGGCTCTTTTTTGTATGTTCGATAATAAAAGAATGAACAAGAAGAAAGTCTTCGATCATTTATCCCCAGTAACATTATACTCGCTGTCGTCATAAATAGGAAATTTACAAGTGTGGAGGAACAATATAACAGCTTCAGACAAAAATAGCTTAAGTTAATACGCAAAGAAAATCGACGACAACATGGTCAAAACGAGACACAAAGTGTGAATAAAATGCTCTAACACAATCTGAAAGACTTTATCAAGTTTGTATGTGCATCTAGCGTCACAATTCCTTTTAGAATGATTATTTGGTGCAACAAAAGGCGGATGTAGCCTTACTGTTAATACGAAGAAAAAAAAAGACATTTTTAATATATTCCTGAAAGCATTTTAAGAGATTTAAAATAGAGATCGTTTTCCCATTGTTAAAAAACAAAAGTTAATGTTTGATGTGATAATATCGCAATCATCAAAAGATATACTATTACAATGACTGATGTCTGATGGCATATCTCATCAATTATATCATTTGTATAAATTGTCGGAAATATATATCAAGATATATATCAGATCAATAAGAACTGTCACAAGTGTATTACATAGTCATTATAGTCATTACGCTCGTACATAAATATAATACGAACTTGAGGACACTAGAAACAAGACTGATGATAAAGTTGATAAATACAAAGACAAATTATTCTATGACACAAAATAAATTGATCAAACATTACACAGTGTATATATTAGAATGATATTATCACATTTTATCTGTTCAATATATTTGCCTTTTAAACTGGCGGACTATTGTGATCACTAAAGATAGACATTATTGATTTAGAATTTGTGTATACCGAAAGTGTATGAGGTTCCATGACAAAGTAGCTTACGCGATAAATTATACCCATAATACATATTTACTAACGACATTCTTTCGTCCGTCCACAACATCTCCTTAATCAATAGGTCAATAATAAAATTTCAAAACTATCTTGGAATGATCTTCGCTCATTCCCTCAAACTGATTAATAATCTCTGGTTGATATGGCACCAAAAGAAAATTCTATTCTTGAAACATCTCTTCTCCATACCATATATAGCTTAACCAGTATATGTGCTTATGTATAAAAATATATTAACAATATCATCGCTTTGAATTAAAGAAAAATTAAATCATGAAAACGAACAGGGAAATACGTGCCAAAAACTCATCTATTATTAAGAAAAGAAAAAAAAAGTTTTTGTTAATTGATCTCTTAGGAAAACAAATTGAATATTCTATTTGGTTCTAGAACAGAGCATTCTTAAATAAAATATCACACAAGCTGTCGTTTTTCAAGTCCAAGAAATGAAATTCAGTTGCCACAGTCCTAGAATTCTCATTAAAAAAATCAATCAATAAGTGTTTAAGGTATTACCATCCTTATGCCTTACCTCCGCTTGAAGAGTATTCAAATAGGCTAGAGCTACGGTTAACTACATTGAAACTGAGGGCCATGGGTTCAAACCTCAGATGTGTCAACTTTTTTTCTTTCTTTTTTTTTATTTTTACATTATGTATGTGTCTCTCCATCCATTTTGGGTAGAAAAAAGTGTTTATCTTTTAATAATTTAATTTATATACTAGGTATTTATTGGCTAAATAATGCTAAATCTGGTAATAAATATGTACCTGATATTTTCAAAGTGTAATGAAATCAAAACTAGACGGTAAAAGTATTTAATATTTTACAAGATCAACCAATATACTTTTTTAAAAAATATAGGGAAACTTTGAAAGCAGGCACTCATTTGGGTCAATTTTAAGGATTTTTTAAATTAGGCTCCCTAAGTAGGAAAATAGTTAAACACGTGCTAAAAATGGCAGGGGTAGGGTAACATTTTTAAACATATTTTATAAATGTTGAGTATAAACCATAATTTTGTTTATGTTGAGTGTCAGCTGAAAAGTCTTTTTGTTTCTTACCAAAAATTAATGGGAAATTGTTTTTCATTAGAATGTTATTGCAGATTATTTAAAGGTTACTCATTTCTGAAAAAGGGCCCTCATACACCCTAGCTTCAGTTCATAAAAAGTGGCCACAACTTGATTTCCGTACGGTAAAGTTTGTGTAAGTTTTGCAAACAGGTGTACTTTAAGGTATATATCTGACCTATGATATAAATTTTCCAGTTCCTTATAGTGCCCGTTAAGGTAGTAATACCTTAACTAGAAATATAAATGATTATATTTATCTGTTTATTATATTCCGGATGATATCTAAAGTAAAAGGGCGAATTAAATTTATCATAGCATTTGTTCAATGCTTTCTTATCGTGAAGAAGTAATGCTGCAATGTTAAATATGTTAGTGTTGTTTTTTTTCTGAAGTTTTGCGATGCAATTAAAGTCATCTTTTTCGTCAACCTTGATTCAGATACTACGACGGATTAAACAAATGACTTGAATTATTGCAAATTGTTTAATTTTCCTCTCGATTTTAATATTCGCTGAATGATTAATTTACAAAGATAGGCTTATCGTAGTAGAAACACACCATAATATGCAAATCCAAAAAGTAAAGAACGTCTGCTAGTCATTTTAACAGATACCATTGCTAAAGGTTCAAAAAATTGTATGGTTATACATAAAATGTATGGAAACAATATTTAACTTCAAATACGTGAACACAAACCAACAAGGCAAAGGCAACGTTCACAGAATGCAGTTGCATATTGTGCGTAATTATTTCATAAAATTATTCTATCTAGTAAAATATAAAATTTTATCGAATTATTGCATTTGTCTGAACTATATTCATAGTTGGTGAATCTATTTAGATATACAATTTTAAAAAGTTTTGTTTGAATTAAAAGAAGTCTCCCAAATCTCTTACCTGAAAGAAACATGGTGGACTATTGTACTAGAAAATACAACGTACCAACCATTGCCCCACCCTTCAGCTGAATTCATTTAGTGATTTATTAAACATATTTACACGAACAGATGTGTTCATACCTTGAATGTGACATGTTCGTATTATTCCAGAAAAGCGGCGTATGGTCCTCAAGTAAAAGAATGCTCGAACCCGAAACGAGACAATCTATTGGCAGAAATAAATCAAATGGAATTATGAAGGGAGTGAGATGGTATGAAACCTACATACCACTGCCACTCTATCAAAAGACATATTTACAAAACAGGCAACATATCGATAAGTTTTCTTTAGTTTTATTTAAACTTTGTCAGTAACATAACTAATAATAAATAGTCAATCAATAGACATCAATTTGAAGCTCGGAAGAACACACATCTCATAAAAAGGAGGACAGTTGATTAGTCACACTCGACACCTTATTTATGTAGTTACTTGAATATTTTTACTTTACCCAGACTATTAACCATATAGTTAAGAGAGTCATTGTAGGATTGATAACAATAAGGAGGAATGCTATTGACAA